CGACTTTTAGTCACTTTATTACTTGACGACCGCGTATACTTGCGTGTGCGTTTGGTCCCAACAGTAGCAAAAGGAGTGTATAACATCCTTAGGAACGAGTTTCCTAATGATACATCAAACAGCACATAACAGATAACTATTCGAGAATAAGGTACAAGGTTGGTTTCTAGCTCTGCGATTTCCACATTAACGGCTCCATCAAACCTCAAGGTAAGAGATCAATGATGAGATAATTTGGGAAATCAAACGGTTCAACTTTGTGTGTGTAGGCTCCTGCATTATATCATTTATAGCAGGAGGGAGGGAGTAGATACAACACAGCTGTATTATAGGGCTCAAACACTGCAGTTGAGGCCTGTTTATTATGAGTTTAAAATCAGACAAATACACTCATATAGATGGAAATAGTTATTTATTTTCAGGTTATTCTATTAACTAGCACAACACACTTAAATATAGAACCGATTATTTTATTTAACTCTCTCGATGTATACGGTCGAAATAGATTTCGGCCTTAGCATGTCCGATCGAGTTCGAACGATGATTTATCGAAGCAAGATCCCGAAGGTGAAACAAACTAACCTCGAACCTGGGGATGCCGATCCGTATCGAGTTCGATATCATCATCGAGCTCGAATCAAAATCGAACCATGATGCAGAGTAGATCTATCATGCTGATAATTCAGAGACCAACAAACATTGATCTCGAATCAATTCGAGGGCTCGAGCCAGGATCGGGCTCGAACCAAGATCACGAGTTCGAGCCGAAATCAAGCTCAAACCAAAATCAAGGATTCTAAGCAAGATCGAGCTCGCACACAAAAGCCGTTGCAATCCCACTAGAGAGAATCTTGGCAGAAATTATAAAAAAACTGACTTATCATGGGTCTCCCACTGAATGTTTATTTTTTTATGCTTAGAGCCAAATCCCTCCACTATAAAAGGGTTTGGTTATTATTTTTGTAGGACAAGTTTTTCCCAGGGTTACATTGATTCTATTTGTTGAATCCTAAGATTCATTGTCCCTGACAACCTTATCTATTTCGCATTCTCTGCAATCTGTATTTATATTTCTATTGATCCTTACATTTTGTGTTAAGTTACGCCACATATACTCAGAACTGCGTATAAATTCAACTCTATCCATTTTTCGGGTAAACACTGGAGTTCTCCAGTTTTTTCACATAATCATTCTCCTCTCCTCTATACTGCTTATGATTTTGACTGTCCTTTGACACACTATGACACTAGATACTACCATTTCTTTTAATTATTTCAGGATTCATTTTACGTAAAGCTGGGGATTAGATCTCATTTATGAAAGTAATGTTGCAACAGCTCAGCACTTGATACGTTTAACCAGTAATATGGATACAACACATGCAGGACCAAATAAAAAGACTTACAACTCAAGGTTTCTTATATGTAGGAAAGAAAGCTACCTAAGGAGACGGATAAATGTTATTTCCAAGTGTTTGACTTCTTTCCAGTGCACCGACAGTTAAGACGCAACATTTGATTGCAGATGAAACTGATTTTAACTTGAGTCTTTGATAGAATGAAATTTTACTTGTATATTGTCCCCTGGAAAATACATCGTCCTTGCAGAAATAAGTTTTTCAGAATGGACGAGTTGCTTGTATGCGCAGTCCGGGGCGGCCCAAGAAGATCGGTGGCCTAAAGCCAATTCTTAATTTGGGGCCTTTCAGGAAAAAAAATTATCATAACATCGATGATTCATTCCGATGTTCCTACACATAGAACAACACAATTTAGCACAATTGCCGCACAATAACTCACTTAAACCAACAAAATATAGGGCGAGTAATGTGCTAAAAGTATAAAATTTTGGCCTAACATCAGTTGTTAATAGTTTCTTTTATAAATAATTTAGTTTCTCCTAAGATATTGTTGATCGTAGATAATAGAACCAAATTCATATAGATACCTCACTAATGATGTCACTCGTAAAATTTAAATAATAAAAAGTTTTATATTCGCGACAAGGGTTTAGGGAGAGTGATTCTTTTTCTGCATTTTTTGCTCAAACGGTTACATCACTACTAAATTAAAAGTTATCTTGAATTTTTATAAAATATTTTATTTTTTATTTTAACATACCCAATATATTTAGACTCTGCCTCTAAAAATTGTTGTGAGATGTATTTGATCCAACTTACCTTAATTAAATATATTGCCTGTTAAAACGTGTTCTCTCTTTTACTAGGTATTACGCGGTACAAATCTAGATTAGTCGGGGTCTCAATACAAATACGAGTAGAAAAACAAAAGAAAAATTTGGTGCCCTCAAAATTTGGGGCCTAAAGCCGTTGCTTTAGTGGCTTGACCGTTGGGCCGCCCCCGACAGTCCTCACTTCATCCACAATAGCAGGCTCCAGATCAACAAATACAGCTCTAGGTACATTTTTGCCAGCACTGTTCTCGTTGAAGAATATATTGAAAGAATCATTGGTAACACCAACTGATCTGTCGCTGCAAGTTAAAAGACATGATAGTTAGGCATAAAAATTCAGAATCACAAGCAGGACACTCAGAGATTTCTAAAACCAGATTACTTTAAGAAAGTTAATATTCAGGGATTAGTCAATATCTTGAAGGGCTAAAGATGCTTTTTACTGGAACAGCAACAGTATAAAGTCATTCTTACTGGAACATCAAACATCTTTTGAAGTAATAACACAATTTACCAAGAATGCTTTATTTAAGAAATTCACAATCTACCAAGTTTTTTGTGGTAAGCATATATCTATTCAAACGGCATGGAATGTCATGATCAGCAGAAAGGAAAGAGAAAAGTTCCCCTAGTTGTAACCAAATTGATGAGAACTTAACAAATTTTCATAAGATCCAGAAGGAAACTAAAATTTTAATAAAAGCAACAAACTAGTTTTTATCGGATTTCTCTTGTTGAAAGTCCATTCTAGGTGTACTGGTAAATTTGAAAATGGTCTTCAGTTGGAAAGGCTTAAAGAGAAGCTACTTAAACATCCCCACTTTGAAATCCTGAACTTATAAGCTTTTTTCGAAACCATAAACAAAGAAATTCAACCTAACAAAAATTAAATTTGGGAGATCAAAGTTCCCTAGAAATTTAAAACTTACTGAAGCCATCAAGATCATAACTTATGGTGTAAACAAGAGAGTAAAACTTATTAACCAATGCTTCTATACACCAAGCTTGAAATAAAAAACAACCACTTTTCTTGTAAAAGTGGTCGATAGAACTAAGTCATAACCCTCTAAACCTCATTACAAGTTCGGAAACTGCTGGTGAATGTAGTTAAACAAGAAAATCACTAACACCATCCCAAATAGTAAATTACAAGTTCTACAATTGCTTCTAAATCCTCCTTCATCAATCCCAAAAGGCCAAAAACATAGCAAATCAATATCAATGAAGTATACATCAATCCCAAATACAAACATACAAAAATTCCTAAAAATAAAAACTAAATTAATTTTCTTCCTGTGTAAATGATACCTCATTATGAGTTGCCACCACTCTCAGAAAAATAATTTTCTTCTCTTAGTTAAATTCATATTACTATCTAAATTGTCAACATAGCTATGATGTGGATTATTGAAGTTCTGTCTCCATTATATGTGAAAGCAAATGAATCATGCAGTCGGATGATGACAAGCCAATTTTAGCTCACTAAGATTGAAGCTGAAAGTTTTCCTGGCTTTTGTGATCTTCGTGTTCCTCTACTATTGCCTTTGGTGACTTCATCCCTCATTCTTCTAGTCTGTATTTATGTATTCTGTTGATTCTGAAGAAAGCAACCATTTTACTCGCTTAAATTTTCATGAAGCAGCTTCATCAATCACAAGGCTTGCATTTTCTAGAGAGAGAAAACGGCATTGATTCATTCCTTTTGCAGCATTTGCTTCATTGACAGCCTGCTTCAAGATGTCTGTCAATTTATAGTTTTCTTCCCTTGCTGCTTTAGTCATTTGCTCGGCTGCTTTAAGAGATTCGTTGAGCTTAGCGGCCTCTTGGAGAGCAAGATCCCGTTCTTCTTCAGCTTCTTTTATACACGCGATGAAGCTCATTTCTTTCCCATTCCAAGCCGATAGTGACTCCTCCACCTCTAATTTCAATCTGTCTGCTATGTTTCTAAATAGTTCTGTTTCCTCTTTTGCTTCATCCAAAAGCTTTTTATATCTAGCCTTAATGCTCTTGATCATCTCCTTCAGATTTCCAGCCTCCTTTTTCACTTGTCCTAGTTCTAATTGTGTAGCACTAAGTTTCTCTTTGGCATCACATGCTTCCGAAGCAACTTCCTTCAATGCTAACGCTAAATCATCTAAGGCCTTTCTGCTCTTTTCTTCTGCCTCATTTGCCAACTTCATTTCATTTTTCAGCAAGCTCATCTCAATAGTCAAAGCCTTGGCCTTTGATAATGCCACCTTCTCATTCTCTTTTGCCAATTCAAGTTCAGACTTGAGGTTTTCCATTTCCTTCTCTATTGATTTAGCAATCTCCTCATTGCAAGAATGATTAAGATACCTGCCATTTTGCTTGAAAGAAATGTCTAAAGATTCAATCTTTTCGTGAAGAGAAGCAATCTCGAGCTTGGATTCTTCGAGTTCAATCCTGATTTGTTCAAACTGCCTTGTCTTTGACAACCAAGCATCAAATATTTTGGACTCTGATAACTTCCTGCTCTCCAATTCATCTTCTAATTCTTGAACCCTTCTTCTAAAATCAGACAACCAATCTGTCACGCGAATCTTGAATGCTTTTACATGACTAAATCCTTCTTTCACTTTCCCTAAACTAGGATCTTTCTCTAGTAACTTGAGCTCACATTGTCTCGCCTTTTCGAGCTCCAACTTCAAAGACTTGATATTCTTATCTTTTATCTTCAATTCTTCTTGTTTGTGAGTTAGCAACTCCTTCAAAGTCCTAACTTCTGCATAAAGTTCCCTTGATTTTCTTGGCGATAATCCATCAGTTGCCTTCACATTGGTCTCATAGGCTACATGTTTCATCTCACTGAGTTCATAAATGGCTCTGCTCTTTTCTTCTTCAACAAAATTTAGTTGCTCTCTTGTCTCTCTCAGCTCCTCCTCAAGTTTCTCCATTTGCTCTTGCACAATCAAAAGTCTGTTGATTCCATTCTACACAAACAAAAATAAATATAACAAATAAAAATTAAATATTTTTGGACAATACTTATTATCCATATTCACCAAAAATTCACTTCCCAAACAGGAAAAATCAAGAATTTATTTGCATAATTCCTTATAATGCACTTACTCCCTCCATACAATAAAGAATCAGGGTTTTGATGTATGAGAGTCAAATCATCTAAGTTTTGTGTCAACTTAATACAACTACAATTACACCAAAATCCCAAGCTACTTGGTGTCAGGTATATCAATTCTCACTATCAATTTCTCCATGTTTGTGAATTAAATATCAATTCTTTGACATAAAATTTGCATATTGAGAACCTAAACAAAAAATAAACCATTACTTTATAGTTGAAAAAACTTAAAAATATTTGGAATATATATACTTAGCCACAGGAAGAAAAAAAACCCAATAGTGATGGAGCATCAAACATGACATAAACAGGTTTTAATACCTTAAACGAATGCTTAACAGTGGGTTTTCTTTCAAGAGAAACAAGGGCATCTGAATCAATTTGTGATCCCATTGCATCACATCTGCAAAGCTTGGATGCAGAAATTGTTCTTGAAAAATAGAAGCATGTCTCCTCTTTCCAGAATCAATGGATCCAGCTCTACAAATCCTCCAAAAACATAAAAAAATTCAGTCTTTAAACAAGATACAACAGAAAAACATGCATGAATATTCACAACTTCAGGACATCAAAAGCAACAAATGAAATCCAAGAATACAACTTTAATCCAATAAAATTGTCACCCTATATAAATGAGAGTAGTACAAACATAGGAGATCACGTTTGTATAAGTCTTAGTGGATAAATTCTAGTATATGTGCTAGTGGGAGGTATAGGTATCCGCCCCGACACCACCACTATAAAAAAAACAAAAAGGCAAAAATGAGACAAATATGTCATGAATAGCAGCAAATAAGAAGCACCTTGACTTTGAACGTAACATCATCCGTATACGTTTGGAATCAATATTCATTTAGTGTGTATATTGCAAAATGGTTGTGGTCTGATGTGTTGGGAGAAGACACTACGCTAGCGTTTGGACATAAATTTGGTTGAAACTTGGAAAAATATTTTTTTAAAGATGGGATGGAAAATGGTTTTTGAAAGTTATATTTGTGTGTTGGACATGCATTTTACTCGAAAAGAGAAAACTTCAAAAACTACTCTAGAGCTATTTTTTGGGATTTGAAGATTTTGTTTTTAAAATCTGCCAAAAAATTGGTAAAATCTATAAACAAACAAATATTCGAAAACAAAATTTGAAAAAAAGGCTCCCAAATTTTATGGCCAAACGCGAGAGTAACGTATATGACAAAGTTGGGAGTTGGCTGGTTTTATTTGCAATTGTGTTGTAACGACAAAAATCTCCATAAACTGCAAAAAAATAAATAACAGTACAAGTTGAAAGACAATGAAGAATGACTTCCATAGGACAGGTAGATGATATATGTTTATTGACAAAAATGCCTGGTTTGAATTCAATACACAATTTAATTACATGAATTGCTTTTCAAGTTTTAATTGTAACCTAAACCCTTTGTTTGAAATGTAACATCAAACTGCCTTTTGTAGATTTTGTGTAATAAGTTCACATTAATACATGAAAAGTAACCGTTTCAACCTTATATATCTAAGTTTGTTAAGATATAATTAAATAAATAAATGTATCACCTTTCTAACAGCTTAAAGATGATGGCATCATACATCTTAACAAGATATCATATTGGAATTTGTGATGACCCGATAGGTCATTTTGAGTATTAGCCCTTAATTCTCTGTTCTGAGACCTCAATTAGCTTCGTTTGATATTTCTTGGTTTGCGTGTGTGGTCCGCGTCACTACTTGAAAAGCTTTTATGTGAAAATTTAAAGAAAACATGATTTTTAACTTTAAAAACAACTTGAGTTGACCACGGTCAATATTTTGTGAAAACGATATCGGATCGCTATTTTGACAATTCTGGTAGGTCTGTATCGTGATTTTGGACTTGGGCGTATGCCTGGAATTGAAATTGGAAGTCCCTAAATTGATTTGACTCATTTTGTCAAAAACTAGTATTTTGAAAGTTTGAAAATTTTCTAAGATTGACCGTAAGATGACTTCTTAACTAACGGGTTCAGATTTTGATGTTGAAACTTGAAATGCGTCTATATCGCTATTTGAAACGTGTTTGCAAAATTTGGTGCAATTCGGAATTGATTTGACATGATTTAGACGCTTAGATGTGATTCTAGTGTTCTTGAGTTTTACTTTGCAAATTTCATTCATTTTGAGGATTGATTTGTAGATTTAAATATTTTTTTGGTGATTTGATTGCGCGAGCAAGTTCGTATGATATTATTACACTTATGTGCATGTATGGTATGGAGCCCAAGGTGCTCGGGTGAGTTTCAGACGTATTTCGGATGAGTTTTGCTACTGTGAAGATTTCTCGTGCAATACCTGCTTGGTGTCTACTGCAGATCTCACATTTGCGATGTCTAGCTCGCAATTGCGAGCCTCACTTTTGCGAACAAGAGTTCTCATTTGCGAGTAGGGCATGTGATTGGGTAACCTCGCATTTGGAGGAAAGAGTTCGCAATTGCGAACAGCTCAAGATCGCATTTGCGATCACTTGGTCGCATTTGTGATGCCTCGCAAAACAGTATTCCTTCGCAATTGCAAAGATGTCGGTCGCATTTACGAAGGTGAGAACTTCGCATTTGCGATCATTTTATCGTATTTGCAATATATCTGGCTCTGAGGCAGGGTTCACATTTGCGACCCTTGTCTCGCATTTGTGGTGTTTGCAATTGCGAAGTCATGTTCGCAATTGCGACACCTACAGTTGGGTAAAAGAGGGGGAAAACGATACTTAGCTCATTTCACACCATTTCTCAACCCTAAACACTCTAGAGGCGATTTTTCAAGAGGCCTTTCTTCCCAAATTCATTGGTAAGTGACTTTAATCCATTTTCTTTCAATTACCCATTACATTTCATGAGATTTCAATATTAAACTTAGGATTTCCATGGTAGAAATTAAGGATTTTGGTGGAATTGGGAGGGGGGGTTGTAAAATTGAGATTTAGACCTCGAATTGAGATCGAATTTCGAAACAAATCACATAATTGAGCTCGGGGGTGAATAGGTAATCGGGTTTTGGCCTGAACTCGGGTTTTGACCAAGCAGGCATGGGGTTGACCTTTGTTGACTTTTAAAAAAAGGATTAAAATTGAACCTCTTTCATTTGTGAGTAGTTTCTAAAGCTTATTTTGAATCATTTGGTCAATAATTTGCTAGATTTGGTTGGTATGGGGGCTTGTTCAAAAGGCAAGGTCGTGGTTGATTGATTGCTTGAATTGCAGAGTGAGGTAACTGTTGGGTCTAACCTTGATTTTGGGAAATTAGGGAACCTTGAACTATGTGTTATGTGAATTATATGAGAAACGGAGTATATGCGGGATAAGGAGTGTATATATGTCGTTATGATACTTGCTTCCATGTTTTCGTTACTTCATGATATATCATGTTTCATGCCTTAATTGCTACATGCTTTATTGACTTTTATGCCATAATTGTTACTTGTCATTTAGTTATTCTTGTATTAAATTTCCCATCCATTCCATGATTCCATGCTTGTTTGCTACTTGTCTCTACTTGCTTTAATTGCATATCTAAATTGCCATATGTTTTATTTGCCTTATAGTTTTGTAATATTTATTGCTTTCTATAACGTGGTTTCACTTGTATGAGTTGTCTAATTGATAGATACCGATGAGTTGGTAAGGTTGAGACGTTCGAGTTTTTAGAGATTCTTTGATTATTATGTGATTCTTCATTGCCTCGTACAGTTACTCTCTTGATGTAGAAATTCTTGTAAATTTTGGTTGTTGAATCGCTATTGTTGATTGAAATTGTTTGGGAAGCGAGTTGCATGTTGTAATGGAAATTGAAAGGTAATGAATTGAAATGGCGGAATAAGGACGGATTATGATATTGACAGATGATGATATGGTGGGATCGAGTTGCGCGCTGCAACAGATTGTATATGTAGTATTTGTCTGTGGCATGTTGAATTGTCTATGTATTTTGAGATAAGTTTATGAGACTTGTTATTGTGGGCTCTCTGGTAGTGGATTTCGAGTTCGTTTTTATGAGTTAACTGTTTTACTTCCATTTCTTGTTATTATTATTATTATTATTATTGCGTACATGTTATTGTAAGTAACCCGCCTTAGATTTATCACTACTTCGTCGGGGTTAGGCTCGACACTTACAGAGTGCACGGAGTCGGTTGTACTCATACTACACTCTGCACTTTTTGTGCAGATACCAGAGTTGGTCCCAGCAACGCTGAGTAAGATTGCTTGGATCTAGCTATCAGTGGAGACTTGAAGTATAGATGCACGACGTCCGCAGTGCTGAAGTCCCCTTCTATGTCATCTTAACTGTTTATTATGATTCAGACAGTTGTTTTATTCAGACTATTATTTGTAGTATTCTAGACGCTCATGTATTCGTGACACCAGTTTCTGGGATTGTATTTGGATTACGTCATTTATAAGTTTATCACCATGTTTCAGACTATTCAGTTCCACTATTATCATTTTATTTGAATTGTTAAAAATAGTTAGTAATTATATCTTGCCTAGCAATTGAAATGTTAAGCGCTCTCACGGTCCCGATGGTGGGAATTTCGGGTCGTGATAGAATTTAGAAATTTTCATTTTCTAATTGATCCAGGGATGTTGTAGAACTACATATATATCTATATTATATTAAAAGTGGGAAGCCCATAACTTAAAAGTTAAATTACCAAAATATCCTTCCAAAAAATCTAAATACCCAATTTATTATTTTTAAAAAAGTTAAATAAAAATATCAAGTTTATTGAAGGGATGCAACCCTTAAAGATTAGTTACTAATGTTTACATTACTAACTAACGATTCCTCTCTAAATTTATACCACTCTTCATATTAGGGGCCTTCCAAGTACGATTGTGCCTTTGTTAAACAAAGCTACTCACGAATCAGCCTTTATGAACAATACGTTGCTTTGGTCTTCAGATTAAAGGGAATAGAAAATGAGAATATTAGTACTGTTGAATTTTATATAGTGAAAGATATTGTTTTACCAACGGTTGCAACCATTACCGGTACATATTGATTCCCATGAACTAGATGATGAAATTATGTTGTCTCTAAACATTAAAACCCAAGTTCATTGTGACTGAATGAGATGCCTAGCTTCTTGAATAAATATTATGTTGAAGAGGGGAAAAACATGATCTTATTTGTTGAAAATTAAAGCAATTATCTTAAAGACACACATATAGAAAACAAACCCAATAATTTTAACGATCCAAAAAAAAAAAAAAAAAAAAAGTAAAGGAACATAGGTGGATGAACTGAAAAGAATTAATTTTAAGAGCACTGATACATCAATATAAAAGGGCATCTACAAAGGAGCGGTGCTTGACTTTGCAAAGTTGTCTATGAATAGTGCCCGGTAATATTACGTTAAAGTAATACGGTTTTATGAAAGAAAGTGTGACATGACATTGTCAAGGATTCTATTATGCCCGACCATTATTTGGAGAGATTGGAATGGTTTGATGACGATAAAATAGGTTCTATTTTCTTTTACTCAACTTATGATTTACTTGTTTAATTTCTACCCTTGGTGATTTATGAAATACAATTTCTATAAATATTAGGGTAGAGGATCATGGTTTCATAATATATATTGCGTCTTGCATGCATATGTTACGATTAGAAACAAGAAAGTTTATATTACTTATTTTTTAATTTTGACATGTGAAATTGGGTTTTTGGTATACAATTTAAATTCACGCATGTTTTATGTGAAAGATTATAGTTCTAAAGTTGGTAAGACGTGGTTAGTCTTACATTAATACTTGAATATATTTTTGAGATTATGAAATAAATTAGATTTGCATTTAGATATTATTTAAAGGTTGGTGATCTTTTATCATGAATTTGATATACCTCTTGAGAAAGAAGACAAAATACCCTTTTAACAAAAAATATTGATTATATTGTGTTTTTCCAAATAGTTTTGTTTTTACATAGTACATAAATTTTAAAGAAACAATTTAGCCGTTAGGAATAAACTTTTCAATATTTTGTGAGAAAAAAGATACAACATTTTGTTTTATATATTATTATTATTATTATTATTATTATTAAATAATACTATTATATAGCTATTCAAAAGTGGTGTTATGAACTAATAAATTATATTAATCTATGAAGGAATGGTTTATTTGTTCTCCGCCATTTGTCCTGAACTTTAAGAAAACTAAACATAAAGGGAGTATGAAATTAAGAATAACGTCTAATTTTTTCATGTTGAATTTTGTAAAACAAGTGGGTTAGAAGAAATGAACAAAATATTCAATATGCACTATCAAGTCATGTTTATTTGAAACAAATTCAAACTCAAGTTGCAAAAAGACACATATTCAAACTCCTGAAAATTTTGTTTTTAAGGAACGATTGTATTTGTGCCCCTTATTTATTTAAAAAAGAAAAGATCAAAAGGATCTTGATATTATATTACTTGAATAATTACTAATTTTAAATTCAAATAACATAAATTTGTGAGCAAATGAGATGGAGTTAAGGTGAGAACCACGAACCAATCAAGTCACTCTTGAAGAAATAGGCTTCAAATCAAGACGATCAAACTCTGATAGTAACTCCAAGATAACTGTCGTTAATTGACAATTAATCCATATGCTTCTAAAGTTCAACAAGGGAGTAATTCGTAAGAAAAAGTATAATTTTTGCAGCTAATCAAGTAGCGCGCAAAGTCTCTAGAATAACAAAGCATGATATCCTATGCAAGTCCAGTCTCACGCTAAAACATGAATTTAAATGTTTAAACATGCATATTATCTCAAGTAGCACAATTAAAGCATGATGTAAAATCTAAGTCTATCGGACATGTTAAAATCTAGCATACGCACGGATCTCATCACCTCGCACGTACCTAGCTCCCATAACATATAGCATGTAACAAATATAGCACATATGAGGATAAGTTTCTTCTTACAAAGTTAGGCAAGAGACTTACCTTGCTCTGAAATCCGATAATCGACTCTAATACCTCAAACAAATGCCAAAACAATCCGAAACTAGCCAAAGAACTTGCAAACCAATCAAAACATACTCAAAAACTCGAAATTAATAATTAGAAACAATTCTCAACCCACATGAAAATTCGACAAAATTCAACCTCGGGCCCACGTTTCCGGGTTCCGAAAATTCTCGAAAATAAATATTACCCATACAACTACGAACTCAAATATGTAATATTATTCTAAATTTCATGTCCAAATTTCGTGGTCAAACCTCAAAAATACCATTGCCAGGTTTTCTTCCAAAATCCTACAATTTCTACTAATTTTCATGTTAAAATTCATATATAATCTATGTATTTAGCTCACAACAAGTTGGAATCACTTACCTTATGATAGATGATGAAAATGACCCTTTAAAATTGCTCCAAATCACCTCAACAAGAGAGAAATGAGATGAAATGAGCAAATTGTTATTTTGTACCAAACATTACCCATTGTGATCGTGGTTCACAGTCTCACGGCCGCGAAGCAAAAATACCCCAGCTGCCCAAAACTGTCTACGCGATCACGTTTGACAATCCGTGATTGCGAAATACAAACAGCCGCGCATCCATGAACGAGGGACCTCTTCGCGTTCGCGAAGACCATTTCTCCCCAGCCCGACTTCAACCCTATGCAAATACATACTGGACATGCGAAAGCAAAGCTCTAGCCCAGGCCACTACGCGAACGCGTGCTCCATGGCGCGAATGCGATTAACCAGCTTCCAAACTACCAAGCACCCTACGCGAACATGGTTCTCCACATGCGATCACGTAGCACAATGCTACCCAGGTCCCAAATCACTCTCCGCGGTCACGCTTCACCTCGCGATCGTGATGCATACCATTGCCACCAGAAACTAGCAACTAAAATCAAAGGAAAATGGTTCTAAACCACCCTGAAACACACCCAAGGTCCCCGCGACCCCTGTCATATCATATAAACCAGTCTCAATATCTTATCCAAACTTATCCAACGGTTTGGAACGCCACAAATAATATCAAAATCAATTATCGACGACCAAAATCCTTCTCTTAACTTTCAAACTTCGTCGAACGCGTCCGAATAATACTTAGACATTCCGGATTACGACCAAACTTCACACACAAGTTCCGATCAATTAAATAAACCTATCCAAGGTCTCAAAACTACAATGGATGTCCAATAATACCAAAGTCCACTACAAGTCAAACTTAGTGAATTCAATGACCTTCAAAATGCCAACTTCTGACAATAAGCGCCAAAACACACCTGGGCCACCCAAAACTCAACCCGAACATACTCCCAAGTCCGAAATCACCTTATGAACTTATAGAAACTTTCGAATCCCGATTCGGTCCTTTAATCAAAAGTCAACCCTGGTCAATTGTCCCAACTTAAAGCTTCCAATTTAGGAATCACTCTTCCAAATCAATTTCGAACATCAAAACCAACCATACTCGCAAATCATATACATCATATGAAGTTACTCAAGATATCAAACCGCCGAACAGATTACTAAAGTTTAAAATGACCAGTCGGGTCGTTACATAACCTCATATTTTCTATAATAGCTAGTAGCTTTCAAAAGAAGTCGAAGCTAGTAAGAGTTCCTCTCAAGGCTCGCCGCCAGGAGTAACTCCATAAGGTAATATTGGCGAAATACTCCAGAGGTACTCCATATTGAAAGGTCTTATAAACCTTTAGGCCACACCTTTTGCTGGGAGGTGGTATATAGCATTAGTAGTAAATTATATGGAAACTTCAGTACCTTGTCTAAAGAACAAGGAACTTCAGTATCATAAGGAAAGTACAACCCCATATAAAAGTAGGAAATATATTATCTTACCTAATGCAAAATTTTACATTAAGATTAAGGAAATAGCATATGACAGCTTCTTTGTTCTTTGTTATTTATAAGGTATCGTTGCTCCTTTCTTTCTTTTTAAGTAAGAATCTCTACTATGCTTCTTCAATATGCTTCTGCATTTCCTTCCATCAATTCTTTCTTCTCTTTCTTTGCACCTTCAATATCATTTGGAGATTGCACCGATACCAATATACAACTGTTAAAAAAGATTTTCAACCATGACAGATAACACTGTGCCACCAATAATTCCACAACCAATAATTCAGTAGATTCTGTTATCCTTTCAAAGACTATATAAACGCTTCTATAATTGCATGAGAAAGAAAAAGGTTGAGAAGTACTGTATATGCCAGCATGTACTAAAGGACTCTAAATTTTAGACTGACAAAGTGAACATTTGAAACTTGTCTTGCTTCCTCAGTTGAATTCTATTTACTGTAACTTTGTAGCATACTTACAAAGTTGTACAGTAGACCCTTGTGGTCCGGTCCTTCCCCGGATTCGACGTATAGCGGAAGCTTAGTGCACTGGGCTGCCCTTTTGTAGCATACTTATATTCTTTGTTAATATCATTAATTATCTCACCTTGTTTCTTTAATCTTATAAACTACTGTCAAGGTATGGATATTTATATAGGTTAAGTTTGTGATTTTTTTTGGTAAGAGGGGAAATCCGCGGCCGCTACAATCTCTGCCACAGCCTCTGCCCTTCGGGTGAGTACTCTGTAGTGAGCACTTTGTGCGCATTGAGTAAATCTCCCTCTGTGTAATAGCCTGCAAACTACACAGAGGATGTAAACCGCACTAGGCAAGCCCTGTGCGACAGGCTCAACCCCAGAAGATATTGAGGGGGGAATCGATCCCAGGTCATCCGTATGGATAACCGCCCTCCAAACCAACCGGGTAACTTATACTTCTTTATCTTTTTTATTTTCATAATAATGCTTGCGTTCAGTTCCTTATCATCTACACTGCCTTTTAACTAGTCTTGTGTGTCAGCACTTCTTTTAGTAATTGTTGGTTATTGAAGGTACAGTAATGCAAACACCACCTCAAAATTTGCAAACACGCTCGTTATCTCGTACATACGTAGCATGTAGAAAATAGAATATCTACAGGGATAAGTTCACTCTTACCAGATTAGGCAAAAGATTTACCTTACTCCGAAATTAGATAATCAACTCCAACACTTCTCTAACACCTCAAATTAATGCCAAATGATCTGAAACTAGCCAAAGAACGTGCAAACCAGTCAAAACATATTCAATAATCTGTAATTTAACAATTAGAAATAATTCTCAACACCACACGAAAAATAAATAAAAGTACACCCCAGGCCCACACGCCCGAATTTCAAAAATTCTCAAAAATAAATGTTACTCATAGGATCACGAACTCAAATATAAAAAATTTCTCAATTCAATGTCCAATTTCGTGATCAAATCCTTTTTTATGGGTTTTTAGGTAAACACCTCAATTTTTTTTTTAAAAGTACTTTATTGGATTAGGAAGAAACTTGGCCAAAGAGTCTATTAATTTTAGAAGCTTTGGACAAATACAGAAGCTTAATTTGATGTTTAAAAATGTTGAAATAAATAAAAACAGAATATGTATGAAAGCTGGCAATGCCTAAACATTTTAAATTACAAAAACAAATGGAGTTTTCAACGTTCAGTTCAATCACAGATAGAAAGGGGGCCCACCGAGAGAGTGCACTTGTCAGCCACAATGATCAATTGAAATGAGCCCATTGTAAACATACACGATAGCACGGGCAAAAGCGTCTACGCAAGCCAAAAACTGTTAAAGCATCCACAATAATTGATTTTTTGGACCAATCAAACTAAACTAGTCCATATGAATTTACCAAAATACCCTCTCAGCAAGCAAACGTTCACGAGTGTATGTTTAAAATATATATTTTATATTTTATTTAACAACGCGTGTTCATACTTCTATTGTTTTCAGCATCGGATTCAGAGTGTCAAATTACTAATTTAACTTTATAAAATAACGGATTTATTGTGATAACATCATTATTTTATTTATTTATTTCATTTTATTTTTATTTATTATTAAATAATTATATTTTATTTTTTATTCTATTTTTTTATATAATAATTTTACTTTGTATGTACAATACAATACCATAAATTAGTAATCCACACGTAACAAAAGCCAATATAAATAATTGAATAAAAGTCGTGAGTTTAGACTTCAGACTGCCCTAATTACTCTCTCACTATCCGTGACGGCAAAGTCGTTCTTGCTTCTTCTGATCCATCCGATCCTTTTCAAGTAGGTCCTTTTTCTTTTTCTTTTTTCCTGTTTTTGAATTTTGTTGCTTGTTTTCTGTGAATATGATGTAATTTTTTCTGTGTGAATTTGTTTGCAGCACTGGTATAAAGATGAGAAGTACAGCACTAAAGTGAAGGATGAAGAGGGGTTTCCAAGCTTTGCTCTGGTTAATAAAGCTGCAGGACTGGCCATGAAACACTCTATTGGCGCCTCTCACCCTGTATGTTCTATATTTTGTTGACCATATCTGAAAAATAAAGTAGATATTTGTTTGTTATTGAATGAATTGTTAAACCTTGATAGCCAACCCATTACTTTATCCTGGAAAAGGATATTAGAGATTTCCACCTAATACAAATGCTATGACTTGCAAATGATGCATACTATGAATTTTTCACAGATTGGCTAGAGAAATCAGAGAAATGGATCTTTTGAGATGCTCAGTTATGACTTCTTTTAGAAGTATAGGATTCAAGTATGATTCAAGTATGCATCGTTTGGACACTATGGGGGGAGAGAAACCTTATATGTTCTGAAGGAAAGTTTAACCCAATATGTAGACTGAAGTGTTTTTTTTTAATTAATGGTTTTTTGGATTTTAGGTGCCCTCCAGAAGTACGGCTAACCCCTGAAAATATCTTAATTCTTGGCATCAGTACTGATCTGTCTATATACAAAACGGGCTGATTTTATCCACAAAAAAAGGAGGTGGAGGGGTTTGTAAATGACAAACATAATAGTATGGATTTTAGGTGCCAAGAAGAAATGGACATTTTGTCTTGCTAAATCAGGAAGCACCACTTTTTGTACAAAGGCCATATCATCGCAAAACGGCTTCATAAGTTTCACTATTTCTCTTTGATTTATTCATAGCATGGCTAGATAGATGAGATCTTCAACTTGCATAACTTATAGTCTATTGGTAATGAGCATAAGCTAGAAATTAAACAAGTATCTAGAAGTTAAAACACTATTGAGCATTTATTATTAATTGGAATTTACTCTTTAAAAAGGAAAATATGGTAATGATGATTATGTGTGCATTATTTTTATCTAAAGCTATGTTGCGTGACTCCTGAAAATCCTCGCCGCACCCATGTCGACACTACATGGGTGTAGGTGTAGAATCTACACTGGATTTGGACAACTTACCGTGGGTGCTTTGACTATATCTATGGCCGAGGAGTATCGATTGATGGGGTATCTGGTTTGATTTTGTGGGTTTATGTCATATATATGGTTATATAAAATATGAGAATGCTTTGCTATTTTATGAGATATCTTGTGAAGAATTTATTAGGTGTTTATAAAGAATTAAACTTTACTCTTAGTCTTTGTTCACTAACTTTAATTAATAGAAACATATACTTATAAATGTCGTAACATGCATACATTAGCCGTATCCAAGCACCCGTATTCGCACTCGGATCCATACCCCCGAATTCTAAAATTCATATGATGAAGAAGCCGACCTCTAGATCCGCACCCGAGTTCGAGCAATTAGGATCAAAATAGAACTAAAGCAGAGCAATATTGTTCCATGCTGATTCCAGTACATGGATGATTTCTTCGTCCAAGTATGTATGCTGATTCACTGCAACACCCTCATTACACCAGTTTGACCATGTTGTAGAGAGAATAGTTGGAAGCAGTTTCATACTAGCTCTAGCTTTAGTTCATCTACTATTTTCTCCTACAGTATATGCACTCTCTTCAATTAAGAAATAATGTGCAATGGTTGTGAGATAAGCTGAGGCTATGGGTGAAATCAGAACTAGAGACCTCATGACCAAGTTGAGTTTAATTTTTGAATTCAATAACTGCAGAAAACCTTAAAGTTGCTAAGAGGAAATTAGTGAAACATAGACGTTTGTGGCTTGGGTTTATACAAGAAGTATTTGCATCTTAAACTTGATTCTTTGTGATGTGAATTGCTATTGTCATGTTGCCTATTTTAGTACTATATGTGATTTCAACTAATATTAGCCTTGCTCCATGCACCTTGATTGTTGCAAATGCATGAGAATGGAATTTACATATGCTTGAAGGTAATGAACACACTGATGTTCAAGGGCCCTGCCTTACTAATGTTACATGGCTTTTGACTGGGAAGGTGAAAGTTACATTCCTATTAAAATTCCTTTACAGGTGCAGCTCATCCCTTACGACCCTGATGTTCTTGATGCATCAGTCTTGTGGACAGAGAGCAGGGACGTGAGTGATGGTTATCGAGCAGTTAGGATGGTTAATAACATTCGCCTCAATCTAGATGCATGGAATGCTGATAAAGAACATGGAGGTGTCCGTGACGGGACCATTGTTGCTCTCTGGGAATGGTGGAAAGGAGACAACCGTAACCAACATTGGAAGATCGTTCCCTACTGTAAGTCTTGCAACGTCGTGCAAAAAATGATTTTTTTGCTTGGAAAGCCTAGAACCTGAATTCCTCTCTCTTCCTTGTCTTCAAGTTTATATTCCATTTAAAGTTTAGCCATCCTCACCCTTAAGGCCATTGATTTTTTTTTCTGTTTTCTTTTTGCAAAATTTTCTCTCACACTTAGCCTCCATGTTGTTTGATATAAATTACTTTCACGAAAATTATTTTTCCAACGAAATATTTCCTGTGTTTAGTAGTCTTAGGTCCATAAGCCTTAAGATGCTTTAACTAGAAATTCTATGTCTTATTATATCTGATACTCTTTCACCAACATAGCTACCCTCCCACAGTGCCTTATCACCAAGCGCCATCATCCCCTACTGTTTGTGCGACCAAAAAACCAAAACTTATGTAGGAAAGATGTGTTCTTTATAGAACATTCTCATAAACTTTATTATTACCTAGTGATTCGGTACCATAAGCCTTAAGATGCTTTAACTAGAAATTCTCTGTCTTATTATATCTGATACTCTTTCACGAACATAGCTACCCTCCCACAGTACCTTATCACCAAGCGCCATCATCCCCTACTGTTTGTGCGACCAAAAAAACCAAAACTTATGTAGGAAAGATGTGTTCTTTATAGAACATTCTCATAAACTTTATTATTACCTAGTGATTCAGTACCAAACCTATTTTCATTAAGCTAGATGTCATTTACTTCTCAGTTAACAAGCAATACTGGATGCTACTATCAGCTTTCATCCCAATAATTTTACACATATTTTTTTCATGCATTTATATTAATTAATTTTTCCCTAAATAATATAATTGCAGGATATGTTGGCTCGTGAATGATGACTGGATGAGTTTAAATAATGGAGTTGATGCTCGTTGTTTTTTCTTCTTTTTTTTGTGTGTGTGTCTTATTACGTATTTTGTATTGTATTCAATGTCCCTCCAAGAATGTAAAAGAAATTGAAAACAAGGGAATTACTATGTATTGTGTGGGAGGTGTCATGGCTATGGTATGTATGTGTTTTAACTTCTATTTTTGATTTGGCGTTATACCAAATTGAAGCTTGGTAGTTTGTGCCTATTTCTCTATCTTCTTTCTTATTACTAAGATATGACAAAGGATCACAACAGCCTAATGAAGTTCAAAGAAATTGCTCATGTTCCTTACCATGAATTTAGCCATCCGTCATCCGGCAGTTGGGAATGTGCTTATAGTTGCTGATACAGTTCCTTATTTTTATGTTTTACCAATACAATGTTTTACCATCTTTCCAGGAGGAAAGGGTGTACTACTACTTCTGGCCTTTGTTTTCTTACTATCTGGCTATTTGGCGTTAAAACCTAGTGAACCAGTGCTTTCTGAACTAGTTGAATTAGCTGCTCCCTCATAAAGATGGCAATGGTGCGGGGCGGAGAAGATCTTACGCCGCGGATGGGTTGAATTAGTTACAAGATTTGTCTTTTTTGAAAATTTAAGCAGAGCGGTATGTTTTGCAGGTTAGAAAACTGTGAGCTCCGTGCTTCGGGTCATTCCTGATCTATGAGGGGAAGCACCATATCTGATGCTTTGTTTTGTGCATAACCTACTGGGTAATAATTTTTTAGGTAAAAACTGCTTTGCTTTATATTACGACCTTTTTCCAAATATTAAATATTTATATTCATATTAACTCAGGTATAGTGAACCAAATGGTGACTAACTCGTAGCTCTAGGTATATTCTTGAATAGAGCTGTTTACCGGACGTGCTGACTGGGCTGAACATGGAAAAAACAGTCCGTCCGGTTAGTGGGGCGGGCTGGTTAGTGGGCTGGGATTTTTCGGGTTAAGTTAGACCTGTCGGGGTTCGGGCTTATCGGGTCCGGGCCGAGGTTTTTTTTAAGTGTATTATATTTCCTTATTGAATGCAATTGATACTTAAGTGTTCGCAAAGTTTTAAATAATAAAATAAGTATTTTAAGGCATAAAATTAAACTTTTAAAGTTTAAAGTTTTTAATTTGAATTTGAAAATTGATATTAAGTGGCTACATAAAATTATTTAGTAAGATCAATATGTAAGGATCAAACTTCAAAGGCTTTTGTTTCATATTTTCATTGCATAATAATACTTTAAATTAATTTGCAAGTTCTATTTTGATTTTTTTATTTTTGAACTTGCAAACTAAAAGTTTACAACAATTATAAAAAATAAGAAAGAGTACATCACATGCTTTGCATCATTTTTGTAAGTTCATCCATGTCAATGTGAGGTTCTTGATTTCCGGCATTGCTTGAATCGGAACCATAAACCTTTATATCTTCAATTTCTTGGTCCTCCGATTCATCTACCTCTTCACACCCTTGATTTCGTCGTTCTGATCTTATCCAATCTCTGAAGCACAATAGAACTTCCAAAGTGTTGCTACCCAATGAATGATGGGTATCTCCTAGTTGCTGTCTTGCTTGGCTAAATGCGCTCTCTTATGCAACTGTTGAAATCGGCACATTTAGCACGTCTCGAGCCATGGCCAAAAGAATAGGAAATTAATTTGAGTTGGTCCTCCACCAAGCCAGCGGTAGAAATTCCTTTATGCGGGGCTCTGTTGCCTTTTGCAAGTAGAATTGGAGTTCATCAATATTCCTGCTACTGGTTTGTTGATGCTTTCCTAGTGTAGACCAAATTAAATAATCTTCAACACTGTCATTATCCTCCATAGCACCAGATGCAGATGTAGAAACTGAACTTGAAGGAATATTTGCATCTACAGCAGAAGAAGCATCAACAATGTTAATATAATAATTATATAAAGCTTGTAAATGTTTGTGTAGATCAGAAATGCAAGTTTCAATATCAGGGGTTTTATTTGGTTCGATATCCATATAAGCATATAAAGCAGTGATTAATTGGCGACAAGTAGTCATTTTGATAGAAGGGTTTAAAATAGCACCAATTAGGTAAATAGGGGGGGATAGGATAGAAATATTTCTTAAATTTATCTAGCATAGATTCAACAACAAACTATATCTTTCTTTCTTCTTGAAATTATGGAGTAAAAGAGAAATTTTAGCTATGTGTACTAAACCATTTGCAATAGTAGGATAATAAACTCAAGAAAACCTACATAAAAATTTTGTAAATTTTTTACAATATCTTCAATGACATCTCAATTACTAGCCGTTAACAAACGGTTAGGATCGGTACAATGAGAATTAGCAACTTCAGTTATAGGCGTTCTATATTTATAACAGCATCTTAAGAATAAATAAGTATAGTTCCACCTAATAACTATTTCTTCAAGCATGAGTCTTGGTTTTAGTCCATAATGTACACATTTATCCTTAAATGCATTTAATCTAGCACTTCTATTATTTCCTTGAATTACACCAACAGCTCTTCTAACTAAAGTGATCTCATTTCTAAATAATTCAAGCTCACTCTTAACAATTAAATTATAATATGGCATGCACTCTTCACTTGAAATATTTCAGGAAGTGGTGGGTGTTAATGTAATTTTAATAGTGAAATAGCAGCATTATTGTTAGAAGCATTATCAAATGATATACACAAAACTTTTTCTTCAAGATTGTAAAATATAGCAACTTCATGGATAATATTACTTATAAATGCACCAGTATGACTTTGATCTTCATCATATTTTAAAGCAATAATACGTTTTTGCATACAAAAATTATCATCTATCCAATGGCATGTAACAGTCAAATAATCATTCTCATTAACAGCACGACCAATATCAGAAGTAAGAGAAACTCTACAAGGAAGACTAGCGAACAAATAACGGATATATATCTGATATTGTCCAAAAAGCCTAAAGATATCGGCTCTACAAGTACTTTTAGGAATACCTTTAAACAAAGGGTTATAAATTCTTTGAATATAAGTAACAAGATATGGTGAAGCAGCAAAGCTAAAAGGTAAACAACCTAAAACAATCATTTTAGCTAATTCTTCTCGATCTTTCAATATATCGTATTTACTCATTAAACCGCCAGTACCCGGGTTAAGTTTTTGTTGGCAAGATTCTTCATCAACACCTCAAGCAATAGGGTGGTTATCTACCATGTGCCTACAAAGTTGACCCGTTCCCCCTTGCTTACCTCCGGTCTCATGTTTATAAACTTCCTTACAAATAGTACATCTTACATAATTTTTATCTTCTTCTAGTCTTTCAAAAAATTGTCAACACTTACTTTTTTAATCTTCGATTCTTTTTAATAGGGAGGGGAGGCCTACCTGTATTACCACGACCGCCAGCCCTAGTATTTTGACTAGTAGTACCAGATGTAGGTGGTGGTGTTTCAAGATTATGAGGTGACTAAATATCATCTAAATTATCATCTATACTATAATCTTCTTGAAGGTTCTCATAATCTACATTTAAATTTTTAGGTGAGCAGAAATATGTGTAAAGCTACTAGAAGAACCAGTATCACCTCTTGATTTTTTAGTATTTTTACTCTTACTAGTACCACCCCTACTAGTACACGTTTTTTTGGCTACTCTAAATATATTCATTATGTAAATTAAATTTAAAAAACTAAATTAATAATTCTAAATAATAAAATAAAAATAAACACCAAAGAAGAGAAAGAGACGGAACGAGTGTACCAGGAGTCCGGATGCCGCACTAAATTTGATATCACACTTCAATTGATATAAATGATACTGAAACCACACTTCACTTGATAATTATAATTTTTTAATGACTACCGTAAATAATTGATACTTAAAATAATAATTAATTGCGAACTTGAGAGAAATAAGCAATTCAATAATCAAAAGGGAATTGAGAGAGAATTAGAGTAGAAGAAGAGCGCAAGTTGTGAGAAAAATAAAGATGATAGGAGGCTATTTATAGTTTTTAAAAGGTTAAAAATGTAATTTATCAATTATTAGGGGTGTGGCTATTTTATTACGGGGTAGGCCGAAATGGCTAAAACTGCAAAACATGGTCGTTGCCCAACGGCCATTTTTGAATTTGACTGTTGACAACGGTCAAACAAAAAAATATTACCCAACGGTAACCCGGCGGGACCGGGCTGAAATCCGGTAAAAATCCGTGAACGAGTTACCGGGCTAGCCGGGTTCCGATACACCGATAGCCAAAAATGGCCCGACCCCGTCCGGCACAACCCCCTACCCTGCCAACCCGTCCCACCCACGTGAAGAGAGAGTTTATACCTTATTGTCCAAGAAAAAAGTACCCCAGGGTTCTTGGTAGAAGCCAGACATCTAAGTTTTCCTTAATTGGGTAAAATTTAAATAAAAGTACTTCAAGTAATTTAGAGTAAGCTTAATTCTCAAAAATAGAATTCTTTAATTGACGGTTGGGCCTTTACCTTTCTATATATGGAATGTTTGAAAATTCTTTTGTTGTCTTCTCTATGTATATTAACCTCATTGACAGAAAGAAGACGGTATACGCTCATGCTTTATCTCCCACAAAGAATTATTTTTAGTTTTCCTAAGAGTAAAAGAAAAAAGATAGACAACATCTCAAAGAACGCCGCCAATTTTTTGAAGTGTTTAACGACCAAGTACTTACTAGGATATCTTTTTGTTACTTACTCTAGTGTAAGAAGGAGTTTGGGATTAAATAATTCATGACAGCTATTTTACCACACTGTTCTCATAAACTAGTAGAAACTGAAGCTCCAACTATTTTATATTGCACACATGATCCTGCAAAGTGAAATGAGAGCTCGTAGTTAAAATACTACTGCAAATTCCGAGAGTCGAAATTTGCAATCAATATCATTTGCATCAAATACCTATTGTCATCAATACAAAGAATTCTCTCCAAAGCTACCACTAATGAAATACGCAGACAGTCCTCGCACCTATTTCATCGACTCACCACTGAAACAACATTGTTCTCACAAACTATAAACAATAAAGAATTAACAACCAACCATAGAGCTCCAGCATATCAATTGTGCTTCAATGTAGTGATCACAATAACTTGTGTGTGTTTTTCGCTCCAGACACAAATCTTGTGAAATTGCTGTGTAGGTAAAACCTGACAGCCTGCCCATATTTTGACCTTCTCCAGTCCTGTAAGGACTCCCTACTTTTCTTGCTTCCCTCAGCAGTAACTTCTGTGTATTTTTGGCTCTAGATACAAATCTTGTGAAATCGATGTATAGGTAAAACCTGACAGCCTACCCGTATTTTGACCTTCTCTAGTCATGTAAGGACTCCCTACTTTCCTTGCTTTCCTCAGCAGCATATTCATTAGCTTGACTGACTCCTTTAATGTTACCAGGGCACAAGGTATCTAGTAACCAAAATGATGTTTGCAACAATTACAGTCAAAAGTACAAGATACAAGAAACTCTATCAGCACAGCTTTGACGAAGTCGCTGTCCAAAATATAATCTCATTGTACTGCTTCCATTACAAACAAGAGATGAGTCGCATATAGATACCATGGATTAAGGAATAACTACTTTGGTACAGTATTGAGGTTATTTAAGATACACGCAGGAAAAAACAATAATTAAAGCAAACTAACCTTAATTCTCAAAAAACGAATTCTTTAATCGACGGTTGAGCCTTTACCTTTCTATATATGGAATTTTTCAAAATTCTTTTGTTGTCTTCTCTATGTATATTAACCTCATTGACAGAATGAATACTGTAAACGCTCATGATTTATCTCCCACAAAGAGTTGTTTTTTGTTTTCCTAAGTGTAAAAGAAAAAAGATAGACAACATCTCAAAGAACGTCACCAATTTTTTGAAGTGTTTAACGACCAAGTACTTACTAGGATATTTTCTTGTTACTTACTCTAGTGTAAGCAGGAGTTTGGGATTAAATAATTCGTGACAATTATTTTACCACACTGTTCTCATAAACTAGTAGAAACTGAAGCTCCAGCTATTTTACATTGCATAAATGATTCTGCAAAGTGAAATGAGAGCTCGTAGTTAACAAGCTACTGCAGATTCTGATAGTCGAAATTTGCAATCAATATCATTTGCATCAAATACCTACTGTTATCAATACAAGAATTCTCTCCAAAGCCGCCACTAATGAAATAAGTAGAGAGAACTCGCACCTATTTCATCGACTCACCACTGAAACAACATTGTTCTCATAAACTATAAACAACAAAGAATTAACAACTAAACATTGTGCTCCAGCATATCAATTGTGCTTCAATGTAGTGATCACAATAACTTCTGTGTGTTTTTGGCTTCAGACACAAATCTTGTGAAACTGCTGTGTAGGTAAAACCTGACAGCCTGCCCATATTTTGACCTTCTCCAATCCTGTAAGGACTCCCTACTTTCCTTGCTTCCCTCAGCAGTAACTTCTGTGTATTTTTGGCTCCAGATACAAATCTTGTGAAACCGTTGTGTAGGTATAACCTGACAGCTTACCCATATTTTGACCTTCTCCAGTCCTGTAAGGACTCCCTACTTTCCTTGCTTCCCTCAGCAGCATCTTCATTAGCTTGACTGACTCCTTTAATGTTACCAGGGCACAAGCTATCTAGTAACCAAAATGATGTTTGCAGCAATTACAGCCAAAAGCAAAAGATGCGATAAACTCTATCAGCACAGCTTTGCCGAAGTCGCTGTCCAAAATATAGTCTCATCGTACTGCATTCATTACAAACAAGAGATGAGTCGCATATAGATACCATGGATTAAGGAATAATTACTTTGGTACAGTATTGAGGTTATTTAAGATATACGCGGAAAAAAATAATAATTAAAGCAAACTAAGCAATTCACCGTGTGCTTATATACCTGACTTAGAATGTTGAGCTGAGGGCTTAAATTACCCTAGTTGCAACTATTCTCTCTAGCTTGTTTTTGCTTTAGCAGGATCACGACCGAACTGAATGACGATAGGTTTGCCTTTAAAGACATACCCATTCACCAGATTCTGCAGTAATTCACTTCTTTGTATTAAATTTTTACAAGCATCATCAGGTGTAGTATACACCTTCACATAATTCTAGATAGTTGGATGTGATATAAATTAAAGTATATGACTGAAATGATTTCCTTCAATCCATATGACACATTTTTAGGCAACTTCAGGAAACTAACCATATACATGAATAATCTCGCGTTAAACAACCATTGGAAATTTGACACAAGTTCACGATTAAATTCAGAAGGTTTCTCACCTTCTGAATAAATCTATGATTTTGCTAGAATTAGGTTGAGAACTGTTGAGGTAGGCACTTGCACCATTAAGGTACACCAAGAACAAAACCTTAATACCAACTGCTGGAGTTGAACAGCAAATTTTATCAGCTTAGTGAAATTTGAATAGGCTAACAGAAACGCCACAAACGACAATTTGAAAATGTCAGCATAAGTCATATTATTCAAATTTCAGATTTGCATCTAATGAGACTTCCAAAATGCTAACCGTGAAAGACAAAAGATTGTCTCGTATGTGGTGCTTTCGGATTAAGAGATTTATTTTTGAAAGAGGTTCATAAAAGCCTATAAGTACTTTCGCGGTGTTTACTTCACAATCATGCTGCCCAGGATGAAAACTAAATACCAAATTACCTTCTTTTCCTCTTGTTTCCCCCAGATTCTGCTATGTTTTGATATATGATTCCATGATCCAGCAGTTTAAAAAGTAATCCACTGCCACTTTAAAAGAGGAATGTGGATATCATAAATTTTAATGTTTGATATTGATTTCTTCGTTTTTCAACCTTCTAAACCATCCTTTTACTTTATCCCCTTCTGGCCTCCCCCCTTCTTTCCCCAATGAAAAGGAAATGACTGACCTGCAGGCATCATAGAGAGGAAGAAATAGCTTTGATTCGGAGTAGTATTTTAATAATGGAAGCATGATTCTTCTTTATTTTATAATTAAGATTAGATTGAGAATTACTATTGTGCCATTGTAGATAAATACCTCCAACTTTATCAGGTTCTTTCAAATTTCATGAACAAATATTTTTCTTCCAGTGGAAGGATAACCTATATAAGCAGTCATTCCAAAATCAGGCTCATACCAGTAACTTTAAGAAATACATCAAATGAAAATTTTACTACGTATAGACCATCAAAGGAAATGAAATGAAGACAAGAAGCAAATTTAAATAACATACTAAAGCATCTTGAGCAAGTTCAACCGAGGGAAATGTAACAAAAGCTTGTCCACGCATTCTCCCTTCCTGGAAATGAAATCAGATAATCGTCAGCATTTAAGTCATGAATAAACAGCAAATTAGCAATGGAAAGGGAGTACTGATTACTATCTCACCCTTCTACATGAGAATACAATTTTTATGCCACAGGACAATCTATCTCTTGGCAACATAGCATATGGAACTAGAAAGGAGTACGTCAATTTTGTGGTCTGGATCAGGTAAGAAACAGACCAACAAAATGGCACTGGAATGAAGAAAGTGAAACTTATGGTTAAATAGAGAAGTAGATTACCAATTGATTTTCTCATCAAGTTTATGAAATTGGCCCTAAATTAGCTTAGATATAATGAGCTTTTGCTGGGTCAGATAATGTTTAACCAGTCCCCTGACATCATACCCTTCACCAAGCAGGGAGTTCATGCTAATTGTACAAATCTTCCTCAATTGTTCCAGAAGAAATATAGAGACCAGGGTTTGGTTCATTAAGAGTGTCATGATTTTTGTTATCAAGAAGCAACTAAGGAAAAAGGAGAAACACTAAACGGAAGAAAATGTGATGAGAATATCAGTAACACAACCTTTCAAGCCTTGTAACGAAGATAGTCAGTGATATCATTAACCGCGCTAGCCTCGGTATGGAAGCCATACTTGAACGTACTGCTCATTACTTCCCTCTAGACCTAGCAGCTATCAAAGCTCCATCTACGAATGGAAATTTTTCCAGATGCTTCACACGAAGAGAGGTCAATCTCCCCTTTGTATAGATAGAAGAACATTATAAACTTTCTTTCAACCTTCCTTTGACTGGGTTTATCACTCTCTTTCACCAAACTATTTATCATTCTAACTCAAACTCCTGAGCTTAGAGTCTCAATTAATTGTCAGCCAATGCCAATAGAGCCTAATGGGTGGCATTATGTAGTTGACTGGCACTGTAACCAGCTTGCCAGATTGACAATTTTCTTTATGTAACAGAAGACTTTACAATTTTAAGAAGCACGCATATTCTCAATGGGCCCATGTATGACATATCACATATCAACCAAACCAACAGAGGAGCCATGTGTCACAAGAGTGGAGCCAAGACCTCACATCTGATGATCAGATAGGGTGATTCAGATAGTGTTACTTATATACTCCCAAAAGAATTTGAGATATATCAAATAGTGGATATATAAAGCTTCAAGTTTTCACAGTATTATTAAAGGTAGAGAAATACAGATGAACCTCACCTGCATTAACTTCACTGCCAGTCTGGATTTAGCTTCATCGATGTTTCCAAATAAAGATCCTGCAAAAATTATAGCTGAGAAGAAATATAATGGTTCTAGTGCCAAAACATGAGTTTCTAGTAAGTAGCATATATCCATTGAAGTAACTTCTTGTTATCCATTTTTTTGAAGGGGAAAAAAAAAGCTGTCGAGGTATTGAACTACAAGGAACTCTGAGGAAAAAGTCAGAAAAACGTGTTTTAACTTGTTAATGGATATGTACATTAATGCTTACCAAATATGAAGTAAAAATCATCAACAACCACTTCTTTTGCTAAGTTCTTCAAGTACAAGATAGGAGAAGGATTACCAGCACAATAATTCTGCATAAAGGAAAGCCCATGAGTTAAATATCCATCAGCGCTTTGCTGGGGATGTCCAAGAACCAACTTAATGCTTGGCTTTGCTCATAAAAAAAAAACTTTTGATTTACTGATTACAAAAAATGAATTAGTATAGCACAATTTATAGACTGGAAAGATACAATCTTAATGAATTCCTAATAGCAACTACTTGTCAGCTTAAGTAATCTAAACCGAAACCCTACTTATCAACAAAAAAGTGAATTCTTCTCACAAAGGAGGCTAAGCAGTTAAAAACTACTAGAAATAGTCTGCTGTATTTAGGATGAACAATCTCATAAGCTCATAAACAATTTTTCAGCAACCAGTTTAGTTCTATTCTTTTTCCTGCCATTTCCCCAAAATCAAGAACGTTTTATGGAGATGATTAGCCATCTATAGAAGTAAAGATAAACTTTATGGGCATCATTTTTGGTTTCCACATACATAACTTCAAGCAATTCAAAGTAATTAGCCAAGAGCCTCTACACTTAAGAATCTTAAAAAAAATTAAATAGGAAAGCAGGTGTTTGCTCAGAATACTCGGATCCCTAAATTACATATTTCCCCGGTGACCTAGTTAGTATTTAGAAGTTAAACAGATAGGACTCTTTTTCCAAGATTTTTAGTATTTTATTTCTGTTATACCTAATTTTCAAAAGTGGTAGTTCGTACCCCATCTTCATGCAAATTCCACACTTCTATCTTACTTAAATTAATCTATTCATTTGTCTGATACAGACCAACATTCATCAAGTCAATCATCATCAATAAGACTAGGTGGGAAATGATACCCCTAGAGGCATACTTAAGAAAATTAAAAAATAACTACTCCCTTTGTCCCATATTATGTGACATAGTTTGACGGGGTAATGACGTTAAGAAAGACTTTTGAACCTTGTGGTCAGAAGCAAGCCATAGACATATGTGTGGCGGTAGATCATCTCAAAACGTATAAATGGGAAGTTAAATTATTTCTAAATATATACAGGCATCATTCTTTTTAAACAAACTAAAAAGGAAAGTGTGCTACGTAAATGTAACAGAGAGAGTATAATGTATTAGAATTATTAATGAGATATAATAGGATGGTATTATTTTAGTGTGCCCTATGCCTGTTGCCCCTCTAATGATGCAGTCCAAGAAGAACTGCTGAAGAAACTATGTAATGAAAGCATAATTTAAGAAGAATGGTTGATTCTTGAATACAAACAAAAAGGGAGTTACACTCTGATTTAGTGTCTGATTACTTTATCATAGTTGTTGGTTTCTGAAAACTTCTGCTGCAAGGTGTTATATGATTCACAGTTCACATACTATACCTTATTAAATAAAAAAATAAAAAGATTCACAGTCCACATAACTCACAAAATCCTTTAGAAGAGCCTGATTTGATAAACCTCATTTAATTTCCCTTAGGTGCCAATTATGTTTTGGTGACTTGAATTTACTGAAATAAACAACCAGAAGAATTCATTTCCTGGTTTATTAATCCTTCACGGCAAAAATGAAATCCTTCATGGGGTAGGATTGGATAGATTCTTAACTGAGAAATCCCTGAAGGCCACTGGCGCATGGTTCGAAAGTCGGTGATAATGGGCCCGGCTGTTACGCTCAACTTAATAACCCAGCTATTGTTTGTGGCATGTTTGAACCTGTGACATGCGCTTAATCCACACATCACGTGATGCGCTCTCACCACGAAGCAAAGTCCCGGGGGTAATTAGATTTTTTGATGAAAAAAGGTACTCCCTCCGTTTCAATTTATGTGAACGTATTTGACTGGACACGAAATTTAAGAAAAGAAGGAAAACTTTTGGAACTTGAGATCTTAAACATACTATAACATTTGAGTGGTTAGAAAACTTTTGAAATTTTATGGTCTTAGACATGCCATAACATTGCTATAAAAGGTTCTCATTAAGATAAAACGGAAAGTTCATAAAAGATTGTTTCCAAATTTAAAAAGGAGTCATTCTTTTTGAAACGGACTTAAGAGGAAATATGTTTACATAAATTGAAATGAAGGGAGTAATAGATTTCATTAAAGGGTACCAAGAACTACCATAGAAAAGTAAAATCTAGGAAGTTTTGTTGTATATGTTGAAGGAATGCAAAAGATCTAACATAGAGTTCATATCCGATAAGGGTACCAAGAACTACCGTAGAAAAGTAAAATCTAGGAAGTTTTGTTGTATATGTTGAAGGAATGCAAAAGATCTAACATAGAGTTCATATCCGATAAGGGTACCAAGAACTACCGTAGAAAAGTAAAATCTAGGAAGTTTTGTTGTATATGTTGAAGGAATGCAAAAGATCTAACATAGAGTTCATATCCGATACAATGTTTTTCCTACACCATAAGTATAGACTCTTCAAACATCTAGATTTAACATTAACTATGTTTTCTCTCCTATTATTAAAACATCTGTTATTCCTGGTTATTTCTCTCCTGCCAGATATTCCAGAAAAAGTTGCAGTGGGACTTTCCTCCAGAAAGTCTTCATTGTAAAATTGCTCCAAAGTCTTAAAGATATCCTCTCTCAAGATGTGCCAACAGTTTTGAAAGAAGGCCATATTGAAATCATCGGGCCCAGTCGCTTTGTCACCATTCTTGATCACAGCATCAAGTTCTTCAAAGGTGAATGCCCTTTGCAGCCATTTACTATCTTCTATGGATAAGGTTCCAAGGATTGTCCTATCCCTAAAGGAACTAAGTCATTCCATTACAAGACCTTGCCCTGGATCCACTTCATTTAGCTCTTAATAAATTAACTAATGAATATCATAAGAAACATGAACAACCAAGTAACAGGACCACAGCTAAAACTTAAAAGACTAACTGCAAATCCAATCTGCACACAAGGGGTTCATGGGCAAAAGTAAAATGCCCAAACTTCCAATACCTTAAACATAGGAAGCGACAGAATCTCTTCTGGGGGCAATCTTCCACTTTTTAATTCTTCAAGGGTCGCAAAAGGTTTATTATCATTCTCTTTATCTTCCACTGGCAATGATATTTCCCTCATGTCACCCTTCTCTTCATTCTGTACCTGCTTAGGTGCTACTTTAATCTGCAAGCACAGCGATCAACAACGTAGTATCACAAACTTCAATGAAGAACAAAGGGGGAAGGAGGCTTTTGGAGATGCAAGGCTATCACCTGAATTATTGGGTTCTTTTTCTAACTACTGGCATCTCTTTAGGAACCAAGGCAGCAGCTCTCAATCCAACAGCTTCATGAGCAACATCCTTGTCAACTGCAGGGCCTAAGATAGCTTCACGTCTGGTACGCTTTTGTTTAGGCCCGCCAACATTACTCTAATAGCAAAAGGAAATAGTTTAGGGTGAAAAATGAAAACACAAGGAACAAAGACAGCAACTTTAAGCCTGAGATACACTGCATAGACCATTAAAATTTAAGTCGGCTCCCCAGTATCGTTGAGCTTTTATACATTATATTTAAAGTCCCAGTTAACTGCATTTATCAAATTCAATTCAAGAGTAAACNGAAGCGACAGAATCTCTTCTGGGGGCAATCTTCCACTTTTTAATTCTTCAAGGGTCGCAAAAGGTTTATTATCATTCTCTTTATCTTCCACTGGCAATGATATTTCCCTCATGTCACCCTTCTCTTCATTCTGTACCTGCTTAGGTGCTACTTTAATCTGCAAGCACAGCGATCAACAACGTAGTATCACAAACTTCAATGAAGAACAAAGGGGGAAGGAGGCTTTTGGAGATGCAAGGCTATCACCTGAATTATTGGGTTCTTTTTCTTAACTACTGGCATCTCTTTAGGAACCAAGGCAGCAGCTCTCAATCCAACAGCTTCATGAACAACATCCTTGTCAACTGCAGGGCCTAAGATAGCTTCACGTCTGGTACGCTTTTGTTTAGGCCCGCCAACATTACTCTAATAGCAAAAGGAAATAGTTTAGGGTGAAAAAAGAAAACACAAGGAACAAAGACAGAAACTTTAAGCCTGAGATACACTGCATAGACCATTAAAATTTAAGTCGGCTCCCCAGTATCGTTGAGCTTTTATACATTATATTTAAAGTCCCAGTTAACTGCATTTATCAAATTCAATTCAAGAGTAAACGGATGCCAAACAGCATAGGAAATATCACCTCATCTGAAGACTCCATTTCTGATTCACTACTTGATAAATTTTCCATAGAAACTGTTGGAGGAGGTGGAGGAGGGGGTGGAGGTGGAACAGATAGGGAAGTTGGTAGAGGAGGAGTCGGCAGAGCCATCCGAAATGGAGCTGGAATATTCATCTTGTTCATCAAGTGTAAGTCCTATAACATGCCACAATATAGGTATAAAAAGATGTTAGATAGACAAGTAGACAACACAGACGAATAGCAAGGAAACGAGAAATATGAATTTGAG